TTGAAGACACACAAGAACAACAAAAAAGTCTGCAATTGTTTCATAGGGTAGTACATGGGAATAGGAGGCAGCAATGTGTAGTGCAGGCACAGGCAACCTTTTTGGGACCTGGGCCGGTCTCCCGTTGCCTAGGTCTCGGCTGGGCCAAGGTGGGGGATGGCAGCGCGTGTGCACACCCTCCGTTGCCGCGCGTGACCCTCCCGCACACGCAGCCACCGTGGTGCATGTCGCGGCCGCCATTTTGGTAGTCCAAATCACGGTCGTGACGCGTTTTGTGCATGCGCAAATGCATTGTGGCCGCGATTTGGACTACCAAAATGGCAGCCGCGACATGCGCCGTGGCGGCTGCGGTCGCGAGTGCTACGGCAGCCGGCACGAGTGCTATGGCAGCAGCATGTATGGGGGGGTCGCGCGCAGCGGAGGAGGGTAGCCTCCTCCGCCACGCGCGACCTCCCCGCACATGCGGCCGCTACCATAGCACTCGTGGCTGCAGCAACCACGGCGCATGTTGCGGCCGCCATTTTGGTAGTCCAAATCGCGGCTGTTGCGCATGCGCAAATGTGTCACGGCCACCATTTTGACATCCAAAATGGTGGCCGCAGCAAACACAGCCAAAAATGCGCCCGGACGCGGCGGTGACGCCAGCAACCGACGGCCTGGGCCGGTAAGTCCGGGGAACGGGGCCGTTTCCGGCCCGCGGGCCGTAGGTTGCCGACCCCTGGTGTAGTGGTTTGAGTGTTGGACTACCACTCTGGAGACCTGGGTTTGATTCCCCACTCTGCCATGAAACCCACTAGGTGAACGTGGGCAAGTCACACACTCTCAGCCTCAGGGGAAGGCAATGGCAAACCTCCTCTGAACCTGTCTTGCCAAGAAAGCCCCAGGAGAGGATCGCCTTAGGGTTCCCCTCTTCCTCCTCTTCTTCCTGCCCCCACCCCTGTCCTCCTTGTCCTCCTCTGCTCCCAAGGCTTTTCCCACCCCCACCCCTGTCCTCCTCCTCCTCCTCCTTATACTGGCGTATAAGACGACTTCAACCCCAGATTTTCCTGGGTTAAAAGTCATCTTATATACCGGAAAATACGGCATTTAAATATGCCAATGGCCTTCCTCGGGGGCAATATTTGAAACTAGTAGCAGAAATATTTGGAGCTGAACTTCTCATTCTTGTTAGGTGGACTGACTAAAAAAGCAATATCTTGTGGATACTCTAGAAAATGTCAATATTTAGGGACTTTCCCTCAGAGGCAGGTTGCTTTCCAACAGTATTTTCAGCAAGGTTTTTGTACAGAATGACAGGCCAGAGAGACATTTTTATAGGTATACCTTTTCTTGCCATTGCATCTACGGCTGCATCCGCACTGCAGAAATGATCCGGTTTGACACCACTTTAACTGCCATGGCTCAGTGCTATGGAATTTGGGAATTGTAGTTTGTGGCAGCACCAGAGCGGAGCTACATTTCCCAAATTCCATCGCATTGAGCCATAGCAGTTAAAGTGGTGTCAAACCGGATTATTTCTGCAGTGTGGATGCAGCCTACATGTGGGATGGGGAGTAGGACTCTTTATCTGTTGAATCTGTTCTTTTGTGTGACACCCGAAAGTCATGGAGACTTGGCCCCTTCAAAAATGGAGGCACTCCTGTTTCAAGTCACATCTTCCCTTCGGCTTGGTCAGTTCTTCTTGATTAGAAATAGGGTGTTTTGTACTTTCTCTCTCTCCCCCATCTCATCCCTTTCTCCCTCTTACTTTCCTTCCCCTCCCTTCGCCTGTTATGCAAAACCTGAGGCCTGCAAAGGTGAGGGAAATTAAATTTGAATATTTCCTCGGCTCACAAGAGTGTGACTGTGAGGAGGGTAGTGCATTAGGGGTTGAATGCACCTTCTGTGTGAAAACATCCTCCCTCCTAAAAGCTGATTTCACACCAGGTCTTTTAAGTCCAATGAGAGCCAGCATGGTGTAGTGGTTTGAATGTCGGACTAGGACTGTGGTGGTCAGGGTTCGAATCCCTGCTCGAGCATAAAAACCCACTGGGTTACCTTGGGCAGGTCACACTCTCTCAGCCTCTGAGGATGGCAATGGCATCCCCCCCCCCCAAGAAACTTGCCAAGAAAACCCTGTGATAGGTTCACCTTATGGTTGCCATAAGTCAGAAATTACTTGGAGGGACCCAACAGCACTAGTTCATCCACACTATAGAATGATAGCAGTATTATCCCACTTTAACTGGCATGGTTTTGTTCTATGGAATCCTGGGATTGGCAGTTTAAAGAGGGGTATATAGACTTCTCAGCCAGAGAGTGCTAGTGCAGCCTCAAACTACAAACCCCAGGATTCCATAGCCAGCAAAGAAGAATAATAGCATTATCATTCTATAGTATGGATGGGCCAATAGTGGCTTGAGCATTGGGGTATGACTCTGGAGACCAGGATTCGATTACCACTTGGCCATGAAATCCACTGGGTGACCTTAGGCAAGTCACACTCTCTCAGCCTCAGGGGAGGGCAATGGCAAACTTCTGAACAAATCTTGCTAAGAAAATTCCATGATTTTGGGTTGCCATAAGTTGGAAAGGACTGGAAGGCACACAACAGGGTAAAGAGGTCCCTTGTTCAGATAATACTAAGGAAAATGGGCTGGGCCCTGAAAGCAGGACCAAAATCTTCTAAAAGTCTAGGCTACAGGACTGGCCCTATCATGTGGCAAAGTGAGTCAGTCACCTCATAATAATAATAATAATAATAATAATAATAATAATAATAATAATAATAATAATAATAATAATAATTATTATTATTATTATTATTATTATTATTATTATTATTATTATTATTATTATTATTATTATTATTATTATTATTATTATTATTATTATTTGTACCCTGCCCCTCTGAGAACAATCGGGGCGGCTAACAACAATTAAAAATGCACACAATATAAAACCAGAAAGACCCAATACCCACCCCCATTAAAAAAGTATTAAACCGAGACTAGTTAAGACATATAAATTAAAATAACATACAATACAAACTAATATACAATACAGTACAACAATACTTTAATAGAGCAGGCAGAGTAGTAGCAGCATCCAAATAAGGAGAGGGCAGAAATAAGGTTAGAGTAGTGATTCCTAAATGTTGGTCTTCCAGGTGTTTTGAACTTCAGTTCCCAGAAGTGCCAACCACCTTGGCCAACAGTCAGGAATTCTGGGAGTTGAAGTTCAAAACATCTGGAGAACCAAAGTTTGGGAACCACTGGGCTAGACATTGGGGATGTTAATGGCAGCCGCACAATCTATGTGACATTCCCCTAGATTGGCCCTTTTTTCTCAGGTGTGGTAGATGACCCTATCTCATCCCCAATATTGAAGCAAGGTCTAACTGGCAATCCAGTTGTACATAGAATGGATAGAGGTGTTATCTTCTCCTTTGCTTGAGGGAATAAAATGTCTTGGGGTGGCTTTGCGAGGCTGGCTGAGCCCAAATAGAGAGTAGGCATCCAGGCAAGAGTAAACCCAAAAAGAGACTCCAGAAGCAGCAAAGGGTCTAACATAGCAAGATCTAGTAGAGCTAGGGGGGGGGGGCTACTCAGGATAAATGGAAACAAGATCTAGAATGGACCAAGGTTGTTCCAATAACCCATCCTTAGTAATATTCAGATATAGCAGTGTTAGTCTGTATCAGCATACAAATGACTCTAGTAGTACCTTTGAGGCTAACTGGGAGGAAAAGGTATGTAGCATAAACTTTTGTAGACTCTTCTACTTAGTAAGACTAGCCTGAATGAGGTAGGCTAGTAAGACAGGCATGAGTGCTCATAGTCTCACCTAGTTAACAGCTGCAGGTTGCTGCAGATATTCAGGGAAAATTCCTACTCATGAAGAGGATCTTGCTCATAATAAGTCCTTTACTTATGTGGAATCTTCCTCTACATTTGGTTGCTCCTTTGCCTGGCCACTATTCTAACCTGTCTTATAACAGAGCTTGAAAAAGTGTACTTTTTCAGGCTATAACTTTCAAAATCCCTCAGCTAGCATGATCTCTGACCATGCCAGGTAGGGGATTCTGGGAGCTGCAACTCAAATGTTCTGGCTTTTAGCTGCCAGGAGTGGTGCTGGGAGGTGACACAATACACAAGTTGCCATTTCTTAGTGAGGGTGGGATCTATAATCTTCTCCCCTGAAGAGCTCAGGACCTTTTACATCACCTCATTTTGCGCTGGGTATTAAATGAAACACATAGGAAGAGGAATCGTATGAAGATGAACCCCATATTCTGGAAAGTGAAGTGAAAGTTGTACTCAAAGCATTTGGGAAGAATAAATCCCCAGGAACGGATGATGTACCAGTAGAACTGCTACAATCAACAGAGACAGAATTGACTTTAGTTCTAACTAAAATCTGCCAACAAATACGGAAAACAAAACAATGGCCCATGGAGTGGAAAAGACCAGTATACATTCCCCCAAAAAAGGAGACACAAAAGATTGCAGTAACTATAGAACCATTGCATTCATTTCCCATACAAGCAAAGTTGTGCTCAAACTTCTGCAGCAAAGACTCCTACCTATGGGACAAGAAATTCCAGAGGTACAATCTGAGTTCAGGAGAGGAAGAGGCACTATGGATCACATTGCAATTTGCAAACATATGCTGGGTAATAGAGCGCACCAGGGAATTCCAGAAGAAAATCACCATGTGCTTTATAGACTACAGCAAACATCATGAGAAACTATGGACTGCTCTTAAAGAAATGGATGAGAAATGGCTCAATGCTATGGAATTCTGGGAAGTGTAGTTTTGTGAGACATTTAGCCTTCTCTGTCAGAGAGCTCTATTGTCAAAATAAACTACAATTCTCAGGATTTCCTATTCCTGAGCCAGGGCAGTTAAAGCAGTCTCACGCTGGATTATTTCTGCAGTGTGTTTTGGACTCTAGTGCAGTTACAGAACAGTATTATTTCCTGACGTCAACTATAATAGATTTAAAACTGAATCCAAAACCAACATGTAGCTTGCCACCAGATTTTAGAGATACCACTTTAAAATCAAACATGTTAATGTTGCACTACAACCTCCAATCCCCCCTTTCTAGCCCTCCAGAAGACCCCTGGATCTCCTAATTATTATTTTTTTTGCCATTTTCAGCCTCAAACTCTGAAAAATTGGTCCCTGATAGGGTGTGGTTTGGTTCCAAACCCCTATAAGCCCCCAAACCTAGGGAATAAAGTTCTGAAAATAAGACAAGATAACATCCTTAGGGTATATTGGGTGTTTCTGGGGTGAAATTGGCCCTTTCTCTCTGCACAGTCACTGTTTTAGCTCATACACCCCCAAATTATTTCTGACTCTTTTAAAAAAGAAGTGTGTTATGTGTTACTCTCACACTACCTTTCAAAAAGCCCCAAATTCCCCATTATGATCTCCCACATAATGTTTTGAAGTAGTAGTGAGTAAATGTTCCTCGTCACATTGGAGGAAAGATATTGATGATATTATTTTAAAGTAAGGATTTTGGTCTTTATTACACAAAAGTCTTGATTTTAACATGCTACTTCCAAGCTCTGCCTTATTACATGGGGATAAGAAATGGGAGACAAACAGAATGCTCTTGTCATGATTGCATGAAGATTTTCACACAACGTTGCGCTCATCCCATACTTCTCCTGTTAACAACCTGGAATGTTCCTATAATTTCTTATTCATGGGGAATCCCTGTGAATAGCTTGCTGAAAAAGCTTCATTTGTGCTATTGCGAAGATGCGGAAGCCAATAATGTTTTGTTTGCGCTATTGTGGAGCAATCCAGGACCTTTTCCCAGAGTGCATTTAGGTACACACAATTCATTTTCATTGCTAGGATTGGTTTTGGGGTGAATTTCTATGTTATTTTGAGGTGTAGGGCACAATTTTCTTTCAACTGTATAAAAATAATCTTCTGAAATATATCATTTCTATCGATTTTATCTTGTTCTGTTTGGGACGTAACGATGCTTTTCAGACGTGCAGTCATGCCAAAATGGCATGTGTGTGAAACATTAGATAACGGTGCAATAACTCTACAAGAATGGATGTATGTGGAACGCAATTGCGTTTCTCTATCATTTTTATCTTGTCATTGTTGCATGATTGTGTGACTGTATGAAAATATAGATTGCTATAGCGCTTTGCTTCCGTTATCTTCAAATAGTGCAATTGTGCTATTGGCCCTGGTGTGATAATCTCCATAGAAACAAGTGGATAGATATGGAACTTGGCTCAAGAGGAGGATGCATTGCATTTGGATCTAGGAGACCCACCTTCAGCTCTCTTTTGTTTAGTGTAGACTTGGTTCTCTAGCTGGGATGGCTTCAAATGCAGCACTTAAGAACCAAAAGAAAGAAATCATTCTAGCTTAGTTAAGGACCGGGCACAGAGTCACCAGTGTCTATTGAATGACAAGAAGGAGACCCCATCCATGTGCATGTCTTGCAGTCTCCCCATCCACATTGGTGGAATATGTCTTGCAGAAGTAGAGCAGAACAGGACTTCTTGGCTTCCCTAGTTCTCTGTGCCAATGTTAGTCTAAAATTCTGGATGACAATAATGATCATAGAGTTGGAAAGAATACCAAAGATCATCTAGTCCAATGTTTCAGTTGTTTTGGACTTTAGCTCCCAGAAGCCTCAGCCATCTTTGCCAATGATCAAGGATTCTGGATGTTGAAGTCCAAAACACTAGGAGTTTAGGGAAGCACTCTAGTCCAATCCTTTGTTGTACTAAAGCACTCCTGAAAAATGGCTGTCCAACCTGTGTTTAAAGATTTTCTATGAGGGAAAGCCCACTACCCTCTGAAGCAGTCTATTCCACTGTCAAACAGCTCTTCCCATCAGGACAGGACATTTTTAAAAAGAGATTGTTATACTGGGTATCCACTCTTCCATTCAAAAGGTTCATGAGTTGAAGCTTCTCCACTACATACTATCTTGATATTCAGATTGTACAGAAGTAATTTTTTGAATTGGGGGAGTCAATATAGAGCT